TAGTGTGCTGTCTGGATGCTTCTTTCCCTCATCCCTTCCCTCAGTGTTGTTGTGACACGTCTGAGCTGGCTGCGGCGGGTGGGGCGGGTGTAGTTTAGATATCTTGTCCCCCAAAATAGGAGCAGCCACCCTGCCTCCATCTGAGCCATGAGCCTATTATTATTATTATTATTATTATTATTATTATTATTATTATTAAATTTTGTATACCCACAGGTCTCAGGGCAGTTACAACATCACCACACAGTCAATTTCACAATCCTAGCCAGCTCTACTCAGAAGTAAGTCCTGTTGACTTCAGCGGGTCTTGTACCCAAATGAGTGGGGTTAGGACTGCAGTACGAAGCTCTTTTGTTCAGAAAATGAGGGAACGTGTGTGTGTGTGTGTGTGTGTGTGTGTGTGTGTGTGTGTGTGTAGTGTTTCTGAGCATGTGCAGAGTATCTCTGGTATACAGCTGAAAGCTACATATACACACACAGAGAGAGCTGGGCTTCAGAGGCTTCAGGCTTCGTTGACTCCGTATGTTCTCATTAAGAACAGCCTCAGAATTAAGGAACGTCTCATTTCCTCTCTCGTTTTGAAATTCGTTTTGAGAGGAATGAGTTAACCCTCCCCCTCCCCCATTTTCTGTTTACTATAAACCAGTCAAACCTGGTCATCGCTGAACGCTTCTCCGAGCTGAAGGGCTTTTGAAAATCTCTCTTAAGGCCACCCAACAGGTGAAATGGTTTGTGATGAAATATTGCACCAGCCGCCGTCGCTGGCTCCCTTTCCAAAGTCTATCTCTAGGGACCATCCAAGGGGGAAAGAGCAGCAGGTGTAATAGGCCAGCTAAAAATGGCAGACAGGTATTTGTGTGTTATTTCTGTGACCGTGCTGACATAAAATTAAACCTTCCAGAAAAATAAATAAACCCTCGCCAGCTGATATTTGCCGGCAAAGACGGAAAGGCTCTGGTCAAGGCCAGTTTCGTCTTCACAATACTGCCTCCTTCTCTGCAGTCTCATTTCTAAATTGATGTTATAAATAGACTTGCCAACATTTAGCTGGTCCCTTTAGCACACGACCAACACCCATATCTTGATGGGGAACCTATACGTCCCCTGGACATCCCTATCAGACCTGACCATTGGTCATGCTGTCCGGGGCTGAAGTGAACTGGAGATGTGAACACCATTTTGAGGGCCACTGGTCCTCAGTTCCTGCACTAGAGTTCACCCAAGCTTTTCCTTTTTCCAGTACTCAGCCTTGTAAGCTGCGATCTCAAACTGGAGACCCACCTCTAAGCATGTGCAGGGTATTTTCCAATCCTCACCAAAGTAGCAGCGAGCATCTCACCGCTCCCTTCCTCCACTCCAATATCTGAGATTTACGGGCAAAAGCTCCCAAATCAGTAGGCAGAGGTTGAAAACGTCGAGAGCTTAAGCAACTGTGCGGTGCAGTCTGGTTTTTATTTGCGCAATTGATGTGCACGTCTCAAACCGAAAAGGGTTTCTGAGGCTTAGCGATGGGGCTGATTCGAAAACTCAATGAGCGCATTTATTGAAAAGCAAGAGTGATGAATTGGTTTGGATCTGGCGTAGGCCAAACCATTTGGGTTTGTATTACCGGTATATGCTTTTGACTGATTGTCTTTGTAGCGCCGCGAAGCCCTTGGCCATATAATAAAACTTGACTAAATTAAACAACAACAAAAATGTACTATCAAGCTGTGAAGTCATTTGTAATATTCAACGGTCTCTAGAGGTGCGACGCAATTAGGCTGCAGGTAGTTTGTTTGGCTGATCTAGGAATGCTCTCTCTCTCTGTATTCCTCTCCCAGAGAGTCGTGCATTTCACAGCTGCACTGCAGGCAGAAATTAAACAGGGGCATCTTTCTCTCTCCCCCCCCCCCCAATCTCCATGTAGGGAAAGGGTCCACCTTCTGAAATTTCACCTGGAATGCAGCTGGGAAGGAAACTAAAGCCTGTGCTGTACAAACGGGAAGCTGAATCAGGTCGTTGGTCCATCCAGCAGAGTTTCCTCTGCACCAGGGATGACTACAATCCCCACCAGACCCTCCAAGTGTCCCTATTTTCCAGGGACAGTCCCAGATTTACAGAAGCCATCCCAGTTTCTGATTTGATCCCCAAATGTTCTGCTTCTCCTTAGGACGTCCCTGTTTTCATCAGAGATATATTGGAGGGTGTGGAGTTATGCAACCCCTGAGCAAAGGAGATAAATAACCCTACAACCTTTAGAAGACATCTGAAGGGCACACCTGTATAGGGAAGTCTTTTAATGTTTTATCATTTTATATATTTATAAGTTAGATGCTGCCCAGAATGACTGGGGCAAGCCGGTTCAGATGGGTGGGGTATAAACAATAAAATTATTATTACCAATATGGAATAAAAGGTAAAGACCCCTGACAATTAAATCCAGTCGCAGACGACTCTGGGGTTGCAGCGCTCACCTCGCTTTACTGGCCGAGGGAGCCGGCGTTTGTCCGCAGACAGTTTTTCTGGGTCATGTGGCCAGCATGACTAAGCCACTTCTGGTGAAACCAGAGCAGCGGTACCTATTTATCTACTTGCATTTTGACGTGCTTTCGAACTGCTAGGTTGGCAGGAGCTGGGATAGAGCAACAGGAGCTCACCCCATCCTGGGGATTCGAACCGCCGACCTTCTAATCAGCAAGCCCAAGAGGCTCAGTGGTTTAGACCACAGCGCCACCAGCGTCCCATCTATCATTATGGAATACGACGTATCTATTTTCATCGGAGAAATGTTGGAAGATTTGCCCCACCATCCCTGTCTGGGGTTGATGGAGACTGGAGTCCTGCAATATTTGGATGGCCACAGGTTCCCTAATTTCTAATTTGCGCACTGTTTTGCAGCAGCTCTTCAAGATTTTAGACTGAGGCCGTTCCCAGCCCTCCCGGAGGACGCCAGGGATTGAACCTAGGACTCCTGGCATGCAGAACACGTGATGCACCTCCAGGCTGTGAGCCTTCTCAGCTACAGAACATCTGAGCCTGCCGTATACCTAGTCAAGACAGTCTCTTCATCTGATCCTGCCGATCCTAACCGAGTGGGCATTATGCTATGTGCTGCAACACTTTATGGCAAATTCATGGAGGCTATCAATGGATACGAGTCTTGACTGCTATGTTCTACTTCCTCTGTCAGAGGCAATTTGCCTCCACATGACAGCTGCTGGGAATCACCAGTGGGTAGAGGCACTGCTGAACTCTGGCCCTTCATACAGGCATCTCATAAGCATGTGGTTGGTCACTATGAGAACAGGGAGCTGGACTAGGTGGGCTCTTCTCTGGAGGGCAGGACTCGAACCATTGACTTCAATTCACAAGAAAGGAGATTCCAGCTAAACATCGGGAAGAACTCCCTGACAGCAAGAGCTGTTTGAAAGTGGAACAGTCTGCCTTGGGAGGAAGTGGACTCTCCTTCCTTGGAGGTTTTTAAGCAGAGGTTGGGTGGCCATCTGTCATGGGCGCTTTAGTCGAGATTCCTGCATTGCAGGGGGCTGGACTAGATGACCCTTGGGATCCCTTCCAACTTTATGATTCTATGATTCTGATCTTACTGGGGTGTGTATATCTCTGTAGATATACAAACTCAGCAACACAGTTGCTGACATTTGGGGGTTTTCCCTTGGGACAAGTGGCTACGGGGACTTTCATGCTGAGCTTCTGAATTTTAAAAATGTACTACTCCACCACCACAGCCGTTGCCAAAGAACTGGAGATTGACAAGTGAAGCTCTGGATCCAGCCCAAGGGTTTACTTTTCCCATTCAGGCTGGCACAAGGCAAGCCTGGTCTCACACCTTTGTATAAATTCTTTGAGAAAGTCCAAAGGTGGCCTGCCGAAGGAGGCAAGGTGAGGCAGCTAGAATCACAGAATTGTACACAAGGGTCATCTAGTCTAACCCCCTGCAGTATAGGAATCATTTGCCCAACATGGGGCTCAAACCCACAACCCTGAGATTAAGAGTCTCATGCTCTACCAGCTGCGCTATGGTGGATGCCCCCATCAAGCACGGCAGACAAAACTGATCTGACTCCCTATTATTTATGTGTATTAAAACATAGACGCTTTGTCACTTGCAAAAGATGCTCAACCAGGCGTGGTGATGTGGGGGGGGGGGACGAGGGACAAAAACACAATTAAAAATCAATGCAATTAAAAGCCAGCTTAAAACATTAAACGAGGACAGAGCAGAACCTTGAGCGGGAGGAAGACAGGAGCTCAATCAATACCAGATCAATCAATCTGGGGGAGCAATTAATACTGGAAGCACATCACATATGGCCACAGCCCAGCGGGAAGTTCTCCTGCACAAGCTCCATTGAAATGACTGGGAGCTGTGCAAGAGCACAATTTTTCTCGGGTGAGGCTAACCTGGGAGATGGATCGGGACCCTCTGTTCAGAAGCGGGAGGCAGAAAGCAGTGCTCCGATTTTCCCTCCCAGATCCCAGGCGCTGCAGAAAGTCACCCTGGGATTCAAGATGGGCAGGATGCAACCGGGATACATCATTTTAAAAATAAAAGAATGGATGTGGCAGATCTGAAGCCTGCTTGTGAGTCATACCGTCTGCCCCAAGGGCTCTTGTCTTTAACCTACACCCAGAGCAGCTTTGCACATTTTAAAGGTACTCCCCTTTCCTTCTTTTATCGTTGTTTTTAATCGAAAGGTTGTCACCGAGACAAAGGTACACATAACGTCTCTGTTTTCAGGTCAGTTGCTTTGAACCTTCCCAGACCAAGGACACAGCCTTGTCCTTGAAAACAGCTTCTGGAGTCCGTCCCTGACTCAGATTAGGAACTTCTCTTTCCTCCTTGCCAAGCATCATCTTGGAACAACAACACGACCCCAACCCCAACCCCCCCCCCCAGCTTTCACATCCTAAAAGCAAGCTCCGGCCACAAGACCCTGGGGACATCGGCACCCTCCTCGCTTCCGACCTACCTGCAGCCGTTCTTCCCAGGATGCTGGCCTAAACTGGGCAAGGCAGAGGCAGAGCGCAATCTTCTCTAGGACGCTGTTGCCAACTTTGGAGCTCTGCGCTGAGTTTCCAAGTTTGCCAGGCAGGCAGGCAAGGGGTTAAGGCAGGGCTCGTCGGCTCCAGTGGTGGCACCTGTCAGTGGGAGGGAGCTAGTGAGGAGAGGGAGAGAGGGAGAAAGAAAAGAGCGAGGGACTGGAGTGAGTTTTGCCAGAGTCTCCGGCAAAGCAGGGAGCAGACAGGAGGCAGCCCCATGGAGCTCTCCAACTGCAGAGGTTGAGATAGTGGGGCTGTTCCTGCTTCCCTTATTTTTCTGTTTTGCCCATCCATGCCTGGCTGGAAGGAGGCGGCCAGATGGAACCTGGAAAGGGGAGATCCTAGGAAGCCAGAGGCCAGATTATAAACAGCAGCAGCAGCAGCAGCAGCAGCAGCAGCAAGGAAGCACAACAGATTTAGCCAGATATCGATAAGAGGAGGGGAAAGGAGGAGGAGAGGCTGAAAAGAAAATGCAGCTGACACGGTGCTGTTTCATATTCCTCATCCAAGGGAGCATCTATCTGCTGGTGAGTGAGCAACGGACAAGGGAAAGGGGAGGTTGCGGGGGGGGGGGAGAGAGAGAATAAGGATAGTGGCATGCCCTTGGCGGTGCCTGAGAGCAAAGGGGCGGCTTGTGCAAAGCGCTGCTTGAAATTAGTATGTTCCAGCAGTTTTGCGGTCTGCTGCTTCCGCGTAGCACTTCTTAGCATGCACCGGGCTTTGCCTGGGCTTAACAATTGTCCTCGCATCAACTTTGCCAGGCAGGGTCGGGGCACAGGAGATTTGGGAGGGGGTATCCAAAGGACATCTAGTCCAACCCCATAAGGCAGGACTGCCCATCCATCTGCCTATCAATTAAGGTTGCCATTTTCCTTTTCCTTTTCTTTAAGGTCCTGATCTAGGGTTGTAAACAGGTGCCTGGTTAAGAAAAGCGTCACCTGCCAAATCTCTTCCTTAATTGCTTGTCTGTTTGAATCTCTCATTGCTTGTTCGTTGAAATTGGTTAACCACCCCGGAGGAGAGTTCTCCGGGCAACGTGCAATAAAAGTTCAAAATGAGTTATAAAAAAAAATGACAAGGAATGCAGTAAAAAATATACCGCAATAAAACACAAAACAGCGCAGATTTTTAAAGATGAGAAATAAATCCTAACTCCTCCATTTGAGCGTACCTGGTCATTCAGAATGCTTGAACAGTCTTATAAAGCTATCTGATCACTTTTTATCTCATTCTGGGATCGGATTCTGCTCAATAGCAGCTTTATGGCTTTATGTCAGGATGTAGTTAAATGCACTACAGGGAGGAGAGACAGAAAGAGAGAGAGAGAGAGAGAGAGAGAGAGAGAGAGAGAGGAGGACAATTTGGCTACCCCTGGAACAAACACAAATACACCTTGAAGAGGCAAACAGGTTGCACCACCCAAATAAATAAGCAATTCTAGCTGGCTCAAATAGGTGAGCCAGGCTGCAAGTAAGGAAACCGCAACAAGACAGGGGGAGAAAGCTGTATCATATATTCATTCACAGGCAACCTGGTCCTGGGGAGAGAGGTGCTTGCAAGTGGCAAGCTATCAGATCCTAAGTACAAACAAAATCCATCCTGCAAGTTTCCCCGAAGGAAACTGGAAGGACACCAAACAAACTAGCTCTACTTATGGCAATCCCTTATGGGGCGAGGAAGGCAGAACTCAGGGGAGTGAAGATTCCTCCCAAATCCAATGGGGACACAAAGGGAGGCAGCTGAAGAGAAAATAATAAGAGATGGTTGAGGTCACCCAAGTGAGCTTTCCTGACGATGGAAGGATCTGAACACAGGTCCAGAGTCTGTGCCGACACCTAATCGACACAGGGCTGGTAGCAAATGATCGTTCCCCCCCCCCCTGCAAAGATGGGCAGGTTCCCCACTGACCCCTGTTTAAAACGGCTGGCAAAACTTACAAAAACTAATTAGCAAATCAGGCCTTGGAAATGGCACGGGTTTTTAAAAATGTTGCAGCAGGCTTAAGAAGCTTTGTTTCCCTATCAAGCAGAGAAGAGGCTTTTTCCCCGGTCACGCTATCCCAATGCATGTCTGCAAGGTTCTGGTTGTTGTTGTTGTTGTTGTTGTTGAATCCTTTGCCCGGGGCTCTGGAGCTGTGTATTCGAGAGGCACTGCTCACCCTTCGGTTGGCAGGAAGGGTCTAAGAGAAGACCTCTGCTTGGATGCCCAGAAGGTGACTTCTTAGATCATTGTTATCATCCCCCGGGAGAAAAACAAACATGGATTCTGAGATTTTGCAAGCAGCATTTATATTTAAGAACCTGGCAGGCTGGGTTGGCATAGAAGGGTGAATAACAATTGATTTCTAACGGGGAGCGGCAAAGGTGCCGACACAGACACACCCTCCATTTAATCTCTGAGCCCATTGAAAAACAGAAGTTATCTCACTGGAATTGTGGGTGGCCACAGGTAGCAGACCTCATCTGGAGAAGATACAGTGGTACCTCGGGTTAAGTACTTAATTCGTTCCGGAGGTCCGTTCTTAACCTGAAACTGTTCTTAACCTGAGGTACCACTTTAGCTAATGGGGCCTCCTGCTGCTGCTGCTGTGCCCCCGGAGCACGATTTCTGTTCTCATCCTGAAGCAAAGTTCTTAACCTGAAGCACTATTTCTGGTTTAGCGGAGTCTGTAACCTGAAGTGTATGTAACCTGAGGTACCACTGTACTAGGAACTCTTCCCACTGCCCTTTGGGGTACTCAGAGCTCCTACCACCTCCCCCACTAGACATTTTACTGTTCTCTGAACAGAGGGGAGGGGGGGAAACCCCACACATTTCATGTCCACAGGGAAACAAGTCCAGAGTTTTCTTTGGCAGCAGAGTGCCCTTAATCCCTGCCGAATTGGCGCAGACACATCTTCCTGCAAACACTGTGGGCATGGGGGCTGGCAGCTGGGCTGAACTGGGTGGCTTTGTCGCTTTGCTTGCTTCTCGCCTGGTTTCTTCCCCATCCAGCCACCACACCCCTCATAATGTATTTTCCTTCCTCTCTTAAAAAATAATAATTGGTTACTCCCTATGCCAGTCAACGGGGCACTTAAAAATCCGCCTGCATGTCAAGAAATCAAATTAGGATGGTTCTGCGGTCCTCTCCCCCCTACTTAAAAAGGCGGTTGTGTTTGTTTGCGTTAATTACAGAACTCCGAGTCGGCAGGCACCAGGGGTAGGTTGCCAATTATGGTGAAGAGAGGTAGGAAAGCTTTGGCCCTCCAGCTGAGCTACAACTCCCATCAGCCCCAGCAAGCATAGCCAATGGCCAAGGATGTTGGGAGTTGTAGTCCAACAACAGCCAAAGGGCCCATAGGCTTCCCCATCCCTACAATAAACATATAACGCTGCCTTGTCTTCTGGTGCATTTGGTCAAGTATCATCTGTTCTGACTAGCTCAGGGAGTGATGCGTTTCCTTTTCCCTGGGGAGGAATTGTGGTGATCCAAAATTCTTAGGCTTCAACTCCCATCGCTCTCGATCATTGGCCATGGTGCTTGGGGCTGATGGGAGTTGTAGTCCAGCCATATTGGGGAGGGCCACTGGTTCCTCCCACTCCCTGTCCTGTACACCTTACCTGCCTTAGCAAACTACCATATCTACCAACTAGCATTCACTCTCCAGAATTTCAGTGGGAGACATTCCCAGCCCAGTACCCTCCAGCATTCCTCAGATGAAAATGGGGACATATACGGCATGATGAATAAACTGTATTAGTTGATAAAGAGAGATTAACTCTACAGTGGTACCTCGGGTTACAAAATCCTCAGGTTACAAATACCTTGGGTTAGAAACACTTCGGGTTACAGACTCCGCTAACCCTGAAGTCGTGCCTCGGGCTAAGAACTTTACCTCAGGATGAGAACAGAAATCGCACGGCGGTAGCGGCAAGCCCCATTAGCTGAAGTGGTACCTCAGGTTAAGAACGGTTTCAGGTTAAGAACGGACCTCCGGAACGAATTAAGTACGTAACCAGAGGTACCACTGTATTTGATCAATTGGGAAATGGTTAAATAAAAGTCCAAGCAGGAACTGAACATGCGCAGTCAACGGAAAGAGAGAATGGATGGGAAAGTATTAGAAATTATGGAAATGTACTTTATTGCGAGCAGCAAAGGACGGAGGGGAAAGAAGCATCTTGAAAGGGGGTGTGTGGAAAGTCCATTTTAAAATATGTGTTAAATCTGAATTGATTTGATGTTAATCTGTTAAAAAATTGGGAAATTAATAAAAATTAATAGGCAAAATAATGGAAAATAGGGACATGTTCTACATCAGTGTGCCCACTCCCTTGCATCTTCCCGGTCTGAGGCTGGGGCAGGGATGGAGTTGCAGCAGCTGAATGAAGGAAGCCGGAGTCAAGTGATCAGCAATCCCTTGGTGCCCCTCACAGCCATGGTGGCGGCCTTGCAGACAGGCCCTGCCCGCTTTGCTCTCCCACCCACCACTTTCTTGATGGGAGACCAACTGAAGAAGAAGAAGAAGAAGAATTTATTATTTATACCCCGCCAGCCTGGTTGGGCTTCCCCAGCCAGTCTGGGCGGCTTCCAACAAAATATTAAAATACAGTAATGCATCAAACATTAAAAGCTTCCCTAAACAGGGCTGCCTTCAGATGTCTTCTAAAAGTCTGGTAGTTGTTGTTCTCTTTGACATCTGGTGGGAGGGCGGGTGCCACTACCGAGAAGGCCCTCTGTCTGTAGTAGTGGGAAAACAGTGGGAAACTTTCTTCGGGGCATTGGAGTGACCCGGATCTTGTTTTTCATAAAAACAGGAAGTGACGCCATATTGAGTGTGGCAGGATGGGGGTGGGGAGCAGGAGGCATAGATCTAAGAGACATGTTAGAAGGATGTACAGATCTGAACTTCCAGTAACACGTTGAAATGTTGGACTGAAGGGAAGGCCCCTTGGGAATTCGGGCTCCACGTGAAACAATTGAGAAGCAGGGTTTTCGTGACGGTCCTGACATTTTCAGGGAAGTTGGAGGGCTTGCAACCTTGCCTGGAGATACTAGGGACTGGACCGCAAGGCTTTCTGCATGCCCCCTGCGCTGATTCAGAAATACCCATGTAATAAGAGCTCCAGCTCCTAGTTTATATGCAGTGGTACCTCGGGTTACACACGCTTCAGGTTACAGACTCCGCTAACCCAGAAATAGTACCTCGGGTTAAGAACTTTACCTCAGGATGAGAACAGAAATTGTGCTCTGGCAGCAGGAGGCCCCCATTAGCTAAAGTGGTGCTTCAGGTTAAGAACAGTTTCAGGTTAAGAACAGACCTCCAGAACGAATTAAGTTCTTAACCTGAGGTACCACTGTAGAGCCTTCTTACTTTCCCAGATCTCGGGGCGAGGCCCTATGTTTGGTGCCCTCTCTCATACGGGTGCAGTGAGTTACCACATAAAGGAGGATCTTTATAGGAGAGGACAGTCCTTTGCATTGGAATTTTCCCATCTTTGCCTGCTTCTAGAATTTAGAATCAGTTGGGAGGGATCTTGGAGG